TTTAACTTTGAAACTGGAAAACCGAATGGTCTGAAACCTTGCAAACGTTTTAAGGTTATACTCGTGGTAAATCGTTAATCAAAATTTATTGGTTTATCCCTTACCAAAAAATCAATCAATTCCTTATACCGTCTCGTTCTAACGACTTTCGATTTTTTAGTTTAGAAGCCGTTTGCTTAATTATCTCTTTTGAAATACTAACTCTATATACTCTTCTTCCTGCTTCGTTTTTTGGATCGTCGGCTTCTTTAGCATCATTTAATTTTTCGTATAATTTCTGGAAATATGTTCCCATTGCTCGATCCGAGTGGGGCAAGCTTGACATACTCATTATCAGAGTTTTTCTGGTTCCTTAACATTTTCCATACTCTTCTTTGTGCCCCGTAAAGATCATGTTCCACGTTTAATCAGAAGTTTTTCTACTGGTTGGGTTTAATTTCTTTCATTGTGTTCTTCACTCTGTTTCTAACTAGTTTGTAACTAACGTATGTAATTGTTTTACTTCGCTATTGGAAATTTAATTGTTTTTTTCTTCTTGTGACAGGTCTTTTACTTCTTCACAGAACGAGAGTTTATTTTTATCTCCAATCATAACTATCTTTTTGCCTACCGCTATTTCCTAAGTATCTTGTCTTTTTTCCGTATCTTATTGGAGTTTTAACTCCTTTCTTGTCGTAATATAGAACACGTATACGACGCGCGCCGGAATAGGATGTCGAGTTCGAGCTACGAGCTCGGTGTCGGTGTCGATGTCACCGAGAGCGGTCTGAACTGAATCTGAACATTGGCATGCCATATAGAAAAAGAGAGAGAAATAAACTATCAAACAATATGTACATGAAACGCCTCATAGAGTGGTGGTGATTCCATCTGTAAGGACCCCCAGGATGCTGTAAGAGAAAACAACCTACACCCACTGCTAGAATTCAAAGAGTATCTAAACAACGACCCTTAGGATGCAAAAGTGATGCACAGATAGAGTGACAATTAAAACGAAAAGGGCCATCACGTGGTATGCGCAGTAAAACAAGTTACGTTGGTCGAGTTGTCTTCGTGTGTATGGTGTCAGCGTCTCGTGTTTTTTGTTTTTTAAGTTATTATTGTTTATTTTGCCACTTTGTATTTATTCGCATTAAGAATTTTGTTTAATAAGATCCTTAGAGCATTTATTATTTTAAGGACCTTTTACGATAAGTCAGTTACGCCACTGGCACCTAACGTTCTGCTTGCCACTCCTAACTCTGTCTGAGTGCAGATGTTGCTTGACGAATTATTCTTGCATCGAGGTGTTGCGGTGAGGCGATTAGTGCCCGTAGGCGTTAACGGGCAGCGCCTCCTGTTCGCAGCGGTAGTAAGTAGTAACTCGAGCGCGGTTGAGCCAAGAGGAGTGGGAGCGCGAGGGTAACGTGGGCGTGATCGAGAGATCGAACTATTTAATAAAATGTGTTCGTTTGACTGTTCCAACAACCAAATTAGGTACAACAATTGATGCCGTTTTCACACGTTTTATTACTCATTTAAGAACTGATATTTATATCACTCATGTTAATCACCATGGCCACTAATACCTGTATTAAATGATAGCATTTGTAAATATCTACTTTAATTTTTTTGGACTATTATTATTAAAATAATTAATTATGATATTTCTATATGACAAATAAATAAAAATCAATGCATATCATTACTTGGTATTAGTACCCGTAATGATAGAAGTTTTGCCTGAATGCCGGTCATTTCCGGGTCAGTGGTGGGTCTTAAAAATATATATATTTATACATGGACATTTGCTTCAACTAACCCAATCATCATCATTAATCATCATTTTGTCAAAAAATACAAATGCAACATATTTTTGGTTTTTATTATTTTTTAAGAGAAAATTAATGACTGCCACGTATACGTGTTCTGTGCTGATATATTTTGGTATAAGTTCCTGTGATGAATATGTCTGTTTTATAACAGACAGATAGGCGGAAAATGGGGAGTTTTTCGTACTCTAGGGGTTACAAAACGTCGACAAAACTTGGAAGCGGCAATTCGTCGTAAGAGACCTAGAACGATAATTCCTCTGCATAAACTCAAGAAGTAAAAAGATGTCATCATTAGTTGAACGATCTCGTTAAAAAAGATACTATTTGTTCAGTCTGTTGGAACGGTGCATTGAACAATTATAGCGGACACATAACTGACAATCTAGTTTTTGTATAATTCAATGACGTAACTAACAAACTGTTTCGTGAGTGAGGCAGTTAAATAATTTAGGGAACCTATTGTTATAAACTATGTATATGACCAGTTACCCTTTGAACAATAAAACTCGAGAAAACGTGCAATATTTTTCAAAAATTGATAAAACTGATGTAAAAGAATTCAGTATAGAGCCCGAATTTCAGCTATAATTAAAAAACACTTTTCAGTTTGATTTTTCTCGAGAATTTTGTTATGGTAACGTATTGTTAATTTTGTATTACTGGACTGAGTGAAAAAAAAACAAAAAAAAAATTGTCTTCACTTCCAATACGAAATCGATCACGATCCATTTTGCTCATAAATGGACTCCCAGGGTTATTGTTCTACTTATAAGAATATAATTAATGTATTTTCTAGCCAAGCATTATTTTTGAAGTTATATAAATAGGCAATCTTTACAAGCACTCTAACAGTTAAATTAAAGTGAATAACGAAATATATGTACATAAGTTCATCACTTTAAGATGTAAATACCGATACCGGCATATCAGAGAATGGAATTCAAGAAAATTTGTTTCAGTAATAGTAATAGTAATATAAAAAAAAACTGGGAAAAATTGTATAAAATAACATAGTCCTACACATGTAGTTTATGAATCCGTGTTGATTTTTTACCAGAGATTTACAAATGTTTGTAAAAAATCAAAATTATATAACAACAGTTTGCAATTTAACTTTGAAACTGCAAAATCGAATGCTTTGAAATTTGCAAACTTTTTAAGGTTATCGTAACCATGTAAACTGTTGTTCAAAATTTATTCGTTTACCTACTCCCTCTCAAAATTTTGCCGACTAAATCCTACCTAAAATGTGCACGAGGTTTGTGATTTATCATTCCTCTCATGATTTTTTGGAAGTACTTATACAGGGTTAGTCAAAAAATGAAAATGAATAAGTCAATTTATTTCCTTGATTAAACTTGAAACTCCAAAACCGAATGCTTTAAAACCTTGACACGTTTTAAGGTTATCGTAAGCCTGGTAAATTTTTAATCAAAATATTTTTCTTTATCCCCCCAAAAAACTAATAACGTCACCTTCAAATTTTGCCGAATAATTCCTATTTAAAATGTGTTTCTATACTTGTGATTTAACATGAACCATCAAGAAAACATGAAATTAGTCGTTAGTCGGATAGTCTCTATTAAGCTTACACTCAGGAAGTTAAAAATTGCAAAAGCGCATGATTTTCTTTGATTATCTTATAACTGGTTTCCTTTGTGTAAAATTCTTAGTGGATATTTTTTAATTTTTAAAATAACATCTGACACTGTAAAAAAAAAGACTCGCTCTTCTATCGAAATGTGCAATGCTCTGATTTTATTATCCTAAAATTACTACGAAGGAACCATACCGTTGAGAAACATGAAAAATGTGTATTACACTACACTGAAAATGTTCTAGGCATTCAAAGCTCTTGAAGCGATCCGTTCCGGGAGCAACTGAATTCGTAAGCTTTCACCAGCGGTCAGTCAACGTAACGCACTCCCTCTAATCTCTTCGTTTCCTATCTGTCTCCATATTCACTGTCAAACGCTTAATTAACATACTCGCGGATATGTTGAGATGGGACAATGGTTGCGACGTAAAACCGCGATGGCATACTAACCCACTGTCGACCAAAAAGCGGACTCCCGAAATCGAAGGGGTCGTTGGCCTCGGCTAAAACGGACTGAAGAGAAACGAAAGTTTCACCGAAATAATGTTGGATGAAGATATTTCAACAGTTTAATGAACAGAAGCAAATTTTTGCAAATACTGATCGTTAAGATACCGTGAAAGCAACGTTTAGTACTTATATACGTGACGATGTATTTCGTTTATTTGCCATGAGGTATTATGTATTTTGCAGTGGGTTCTGCAAGTAATGTATGTATTTCGTGTTATCGTTTGATCCATGAATTTAGAAAATTTGGGATTGTACATCATAATTTTGATAGTCAAAGTATATTACGAAAATTGTAAAGAAATGAGAGATTTCGTAATATTAATTCCCTTTCCTTCATAAAAAAGGGTAAAAAGGGAGTAACAAAGTTTGTATCAGCAAAAATTATTTTATGGCGATTTTTACTTGAAATTTTGTATTTAATGCTCTTCAACACATTATTTACTTGAAACTTAGTTGAGCGAAGCTAGTATTCTATAAATCAAGCTAAAAGGTTGTGGTGTCGTTACCAGGTATTGTCTCGGGCAGGTGTCTTGATGGACACATTTACAGAAGGGACTAAAGGATAATCCATCTTAAGCCCTAACAAAATCTTTTATCCGCAGCGAAGACACTTCCAAATAGCGGTAGTTTTACTATTAAATGAAGATAAAGTGAATAAAAATAATAACCTTTATTTATCTACCAGTAAAGGTTTTAAGAACCAGGTACAATTCGGTCCCAGCCAACTATCATATTGGTTGCCTGCTGCTCACAAAATCTTGCAATTTGTTTCAAAAGTAGACCACTTTGATATAACAAAGTTTTAATTGTTATTTTTTTTTAATGTCGTAATGACAATTTGTAAGTACGCTCCTAAGTTGAAAAACGGGACATTGATTTGGTCAAAATTTTTTGATTTGTTACACAAAACGTTAATTGAATCCTAAAATTTTGTAAAATTTGGAAGTGTGTGTCAAACCTAGTGGTCCAATTTTCTATGGTCACGATTTTGTTGCGTGGAAGGTAAAAGACTTTACATTAAATATCATCAGTTAAGAAAATATATGTTTAATTATGTAGATAAGGAAAGTTATACATACCGAAACCTTTCATAATCCCATGCGTCAAATATAAGGGCGCTCGTCCAGATGTAGCGTCTTTGTTGAAGGTCTTCTTAATGATTTTTACATCCGAAATAACCACGGTGTAAATATTGCCGAGATATATCCCATAAATAGGACCATATTTGCGAGATAGTTCTGTTAGGGTGATATAAGGAAGTTGAGGGTTTAGCCAAGTTAAGTAACCCACTATTGGTAAATTCCAAGGACCTGGAGGCAGAACCCTGGAGTTCGCGTACCACTTGTAGGATATCCAGATGAAGAAACACGTTAAAGCGGTAATCCAAAAAGTCTCCATCTGTAAAAAATCATAAATTGATCTAATATGTAAGCCAATTAATTTCAGCTGTAATATAGGTAGGTCTTCGAAAAATCTTGACATAATAAATAAATAAATAAACAACCATCACGAAAAAATACGCTTAACAATAGTTATTTACATTTCAAGCGCCGAAAGTACCGAGTTGCATAACTTCAAGACGTAACTAAAATCTTCCATAAACTTTTGTGGAAAATTATAAATGGCAAACGCGTAGCTTTAAAAAACTTATTGTGGTTCGTTACTACATAAGTATTAAACTCTAATGCCATGAATTAAGTTTCTTAAATTAGGTAAATTTCTAGAAATCACAGATCTCTTATTACTACTGTTTTAAAAGTATTGCCAGGATACATCTAAATCATCACCTTAATGATGATATAAACACTCGAAGAAAAACGTGTTGAATTTTAATTTTTAAATAAATAAGTATCTTTCTACTTCCTGGGTGTAAATTAAGAAAGCATAGGAATCGAGGCTATTGAATATTTATATTTTCTTGACGTTATATGACTCCTAGAGTACGAAAAAATAGATCCTCCGTTTTCGCCTGTCTGTTTGTTTGTTCGTCTGTCTGTCGCATATCCAGATTTTTACAGAATACAGATAATCTTCGAAACCATTGAACCGATTGTTAACAAATTTTACACTGTATCAGGAAAATCGTCTACATGGTAAAACGCTAACCAAAATTTGTATAAACATCCCCACCAACAATAGGATGATGCCCCTCTAAAAAATGAATTTTTGCCTAATACGTGTTTCTTAAATCTGACAGAAATGTATAGTTACATGTGTATCGTAAATAAATAAAAACTGTAAATACATATAATCCGATAATTACCTGTGGACGCAAATAACAAAAAAGATGCTCGTAAATCTACGTCCCTGTCGTAAATACTTAGAAGATAATTTAACCGCCAAGTATGTCTTTAATTGCCTCTTACTTGGCGTTGTGACTTACAGATTAAATTTAGAAAACCTTAGAGGGTGGACACTCATAAAATTTTATTGGCTCATTATGAGGGGTTTAAAAGGACGGGTTCTATCGGTTGCCTGTTGTAGATTTGAGTGAACCAGAAAGATGGCTAAAGTTTGTTTGACCACGAATTTTAAATATTCTGCCCATGTTTACTCAATTATTTATTAAGATATTCCATTTCTGTAAAGCGCAATGGATTTTTTAATACAATTTCCACTAATGTACCTTTTTAAAAATTTAAAATTGATCCATAAATACCAAAAATCAGACAATCTCATACTCATCACAATTTTAACACGTTGTAGTTTTTTTTGACAACAAAATTTAAAAAACGGAAAAGCAGTCTAGGCAGGGTTTTTTACGCTCATTTCAACGGTGTGAAGTTTATTACAATCGTACATATACTTTTGGAAAAAACTTGGGCAGAAGTTTATACGTATTTCGCTATGCTGGAACATACTTTAGCGCACCCTTAAAATGATGAAGAGCTGATGTATATTATGGTTACCTGGTTTCTTAACAAATTCAGTGCTAAACTCCTTATAGATTTTAACTCCCTACTGGGTTTATCTTCTCTTTGTGAGGGCAAACCATGCAGGTCAGGTAAACCATTTGGGTTAAAAGTAATTGTAAAAGTGACTGAATTACTCAAAAAAAGTAATCCGTTACAATTACTCATTACTTGAAAAGGAATTGAATTATAGTAATGAATTACTTGCAATTGAATTACTTCCAACCACTGGTTGTAGGTAACGATATTGTAATTTTAATAATTCTTTTTACACAAGGTCTACTGAAATTTTGGTGAAATATTAAAGTGATTATTACTACAAGTACTACTGTACAAAAGAAAGCAGTACAAAAGAGCACAATTGAAGTGTATTAGGAATACTACAGGAAATTGTTAGCTGACATCTAGGTACATTTAAGATTAATTTCATTATGTAAAGCTTGGCTAGATATTCGGCCCCTAATAATCTCGTGTAAAAAGATGACACTTGAAACGGACCTTCTGTTTAGTGGAGAGTTTTCATTAACTACATACGTAATACATATACTAAGTAGATTTTTTTTTATCACAATAATAATATGTAGGTGGACAGGTGTTAAACATTTAAAAATAGAGATAAAACAGAGAAAAAAATCCGCAGATAATAAAATTCAAACTTACTTACATGTACGAACGTCTTGGAACTTTTTGAAAGGAAATATATAGTTAATTATCAAAATTGTCCCTCCACTCCAATGGTGAAGACCTACACCACTGGTGAATTGGGAGAAATTCTAGTTGTAATTTAACTTTATTCCACCTCGGACCAAGTTTTTCGGGTCGTAGAATCCGCAACAAAGTCAATTGAATAGAAGCAATTCACAGGCGCAGTCTTTCTCGATGTGGCCAAAGCTTTCGACAGTGTCTGGCATGAAGGACTTGTTTACAAGCTCCTCCTTGCAGGCGTGCCGTTGATGATGGTACTACTAAATAAACTGTCAAATAATTTTCTTTCTTCTCAACCTCTCTGGCCAAAATTTGTTTCGTCTAAACCGTTAAAGTGCAAAAAAATTAAGCCAGAAATTATACTTGCAAAAAGTGTGTACTGCAAGTTTAAGAAAAAATTTGGCAAATATATTAACAAAGGATCAAATTAAGGCTCCAAAAGGGAAAAAATTCAAAAAATTTTCCAAGCAAACAATCACTAAATCTTTGAAGCTTAAATTTGGATGTGGGACCAGTGGATATAACTTTTTAAGAAAAATGAAACTACCATTTCCAGCTATTCGAACATTGAATTTTCATTTACAAATTTTAGAGTTTAAATCTGGAGTTTTGCTTGAAATTACAGGATTTTTGAAAATTAAATGTGAATCGCTTAATCAGGATTTTGGGAGGGATTGTATGGTGGCATTGGACGAAATGGATATAAAAGCTGGGATTGATTATTGTGTACATAGTGGGACGTATATTGGGGGAATTACTTTACCAAAGCACGAGGGAGTAGCGACAAAAACGTTGGTAATTCTTGTAGGAGGTATTACTACTCGCTGGAAACAAATTGTTTCATACTATTTTACAATTAAGTTTCGCCTCTCGGCTCACGACGAATAAAAAAAATTGGTCTAAAGAGTGTAGACAGTACTTCCCTTGCTGTCGGAAACTTGACGACTGCATGCCTATTGTGTTTTTTTTCTCATTACATTTTTGTAGTGGGAATTTAAAAAAAAATTGCGATGACGTCATCAACATTTTTGCAAGGACACGTATATCAGTTGGGATAGATGTAGTGTAATACTAAGAATAAAATTATTATATTCTCAAATTTTCGGGAAAATGAATTGGGTCGTTTGAATATTGATTTGTAATAATCAATAAAATAACGAAACAATTTACTCACGTATACCTACGTATCAGAGGCAACTGAAAATCGTGTATGTATAAACATTCTTAATTTAAGATGACAGGCGTAACAGCATACGTGAGAGCCAAACACAGAAACTGTAAACAAAACGACCGCCGGTTTTATTGCTTCGACTTCCGCTTATTATATAAAACATTGGGTTTTATTTTAATTCTTGACGGTGAAATTCACAATTGGTTGATTATAAACATGTCTATTTCACATTCGCGGTATCAAGTGAACGCATAAAACAAATTTCAAAGCATTCGGTTTTGTAATTCCTGATTAAATCGATAAAATAAATTCACGCCTTCATTAATTTTTTTGAGTCACCCTGCATATGCAAATCCAAAAATATGAATGGAATGATAAATCACAAGTACAAACTCATCATATTTTTTGCATTTTAGATAGGATTTATTCAGCAAAATTTAAGAGTGACGTCATCAATTTTTTTAGGAGGGATGAACAAATACATTTTGAACAAAAGTTTACCATGCTTATAATAACTTTAAAATATTCCCAAGATTTCAAAGCATTCGGTTTTGTAATTCCTGATTAAATCGATAAAATAAATTCACGCCTTCATTAATTTTTTTGAGTCACCCTGCATATGCAAATCCAAAAATATGAATGGAATGATAAATCACAAGTACAGACTCATCATATTTTGTACATATTAGATACGATTTATTCGGAAAACTTTTGAGCTGACGTCATCAGTTTTTTGTAGAAGATAACCAAATATATTTTGACTAAAAATTTATTATGCTCTTTATAACCTTAAAACATCTGCAAGATTTCAAAGCATTCGGTTTTGTAGTTCCTGATTAAATCAATAAAATAAATTTACGCATTCATTAATTTTTTTGAGTCACTCTGTATATGCAAATCCAAAAAATATGAATGGAGTGATAAATGACAAGTACAGGCTCATCATATTTTGTACATTTTAGATATGATTTATTCGGCAAACTTTCGAGCTGACGTCATCAAGTTTTTGGAGGGGATAAGCAAATATATTTTGACTAAACATTTATTATGCTCTTTATGACCTTAAAACATCTGCAAGATTTCAGAGCATTCGGTTTTGTAGTTCCTGATTAAATCAATAAAATATATTTACGCATTCATTAATTTTTTTGAGTCACCCTGTATATGCAAATCCAAAAAATATTAATGGAGTGATAGTTCACAAGTACAGACTCATCATATTTTGTACATTTTAGATATGATTTATTCCACAAACTTTTGAGCTGACGTCATCTAGTTTTTGGAGGGGATAAGCAAATATTTTTTGACTAAAGATTTATGATGCTCTTTATGGCCTTAAAACATCTGCAACATTTCAAAGCATTCTGGTTAGCAGATTAAAAATTAAATTTCAAAATGTTGTTTTATAATTTCGATTTTTTTTCCAAAAATCTGGACGTTTCGGGTGAAAAGTCGATTCAGAGTTGTAAACTACATGTGTAGGACTATGTTATTTTATACAATTGAAAACCCATTTACTATGTACAATTTTGAAGTGACGTCATCGCTTTAGTGGTGGGGATGATTCGACAAATTTTGGTTAGCGTTTTACCATCTACATGATATTCTTA